GAGTATATATATATATATATATATATATATATATATATAAAAATTTTTTCACAAACTTTGCCGCCGCGATAAAGAAGAACGGTATAAGATATTAAAATACAGACTCGCGACTAAGAAATTTAATACACTCCTGAAAGCCTTCGTCGTTTTCTCTGTTTTTGAACCCGAAACCCATTTACGTCGTACTATATTGAAGGATCGATTAACGAAAAGGGCCAGCTGCCAAAGAGACCGGGAAGCTTATTCGAGAAAGGATATCAATCTCAAATTTCAGTAAACGTTAATCGTTCGTACGGAAAGAGGAAAATAACATGTCGGAGGATAACAACGGCAAATAAAAAATATCGGTCGGCTTGCACTGCAGATATCTACATTTTCATTTTTCATCAATAATAAACAATATTTCGTTTTCTTTCCAGTCTTTCTGAATTTGATGTTTATTTCTCTAAATACTCGACGAAAAAATAAGGATAAGTTGATTAAATACTCAATCAATTCTACCATTTTCCATTTACTTTCGCTTCCATTCATGATATATGAAAAGCGTTTATCGTAATATTGTAATATTCCGCTTACATTGCTAGTGGAAGAAACGATGCTATTGTTATTCATATTGTGCATACAAGAATGTATGCACAGTCAACGGTCGGCACGGTTATAGCTTTGTTGTACTGAATAGAATAGTATTTAGCTTACCTTCAAATATGCAGTTGCTCTGAGAGAAGATATATCTATATATCTTCGATTTGAATCATTAGACATATAATTGGACGTTATCTAAGACGAGTTATTTAGTTCTGTAAAATTGAATCTATTCAAATTAAATATCAAATTTGACATTTAACCTTTAATATTTTTTTAGCAAAATAATACTTACAATTATATATTATGTTTTCATTTAAAATCGTATCTGAAATCAACTTCAATCTTATCAGTTTATTATAAAAAGTCTGTTACGTGTTTGTTTTCCAACTATTTAATTACATTATTGTTTTAATTAAAAATCTAGATATGATATCATGTTTTTTTTTTTTTGTAAAAAGAACATCTTCTCCCTTTGGTAATTCAAAAGAGCTCATTCTCATTTCTGTAGAACACGTTATGTTATTTCACGATTAATATTAAGTAGATTTGCAAGAATCTTTTCTTGATACCATTTGATCAATGTCAACGTCGCTAACGGGATCTCCAGGAAATTGATTGACGGTAGAACGATTATGGTTCATAAGATATCAACGGCAAAGTGAAGTTCAATAGACGAATCGAACAATATCAGAATTATTGGTCTCTCTCGCACGTGCGCGTACACAATAGACTTAATTGTGTAATATATACATATATGGGACATGTATACATATATATTTTAATATATATATATATATATATATATATATATATATATATATATA